ATATTGTGAAATATGTCAGGTTGGCTCATCAGAGCGTAGCGTACTAGCATCAAACTGTCCCATTCAGGATGACTGAGGGTGGAGGAGCTGCTGTCTCTATTGCATGAGGATATTCTCTTACATAGGCAATTATGTAATTATGTCCTGGAGCCAGGAGCGGACAATCAGAGATCCCAGTGTGGTGGTGAATGACCTCAAGGATTTTGACCTCAAAATCAGCCTTGAAAAGAGCTGCCAGGAACCTGCACCATGTATGGACTGTCTGGGGCTCTATATAGATCCTATTCCTAATTGTGTCACTTTCAGAGCAGAGGATCATCAGCATCCTTCACACATTGTCTCTCCCTCTTTCAGCTGAGAAAAACTGTGCAGTTCCAACTCTCTGCATCCTTGCACTCTTTAATTCCTGTGGTGCATTTACAACCGCTTATAATGAGGGATTGTCAGCTTTGGGTCACATCTCTACTAGGGGTGCAACGATACACAAAATTCACGGTTCGGTTCGGTTCGATACTTTGGTGTCACGGTTCGATATTTTTTCGATACAAAAAAAATGTTCATGCCTTTTTAATTTGTCATTTATTAAAATTATAAATATATATTTTAACTCAAAAGTACAGTTTTTAAATTTAACTCTAACCCTTGTGCGCGTTTTTTATTTTGACAGCGAATGCGCACCTGCGGACCACTTATGTGCACCCCTGGTTATTTAGCTCGTCATATCGCAGCCACAGAAATTATTTTGTCCATGAAGCCATAAAGCTGCACTTTCTTTTTGCCTTATAGTCTGATTTGTCATAACTTCTCCGTTTTGTGGTAAGCTTTTCTTTGGCTGTCACTTCTTCACCCTGACCTGTCTTATTTGGCTCAGCAGAACTAAAATATATATCCTGCTGCTTTTACACACGCACTCACATAAGCTCAGCGATTCTCTGCGCGATCAACCTCTCACATGTTTAAGCTTGCTGCGGGAGATTTCACTTGTCATGTTTGCATAGTAAGCTAACGATTAATAAGACGATGTCAGAGGAATTGGTGCACAAATTATCATCACTCACAGATCAGTGCTGTCGCTCTCTATACACAGTTCGCACGATTGCAAAGTGAAAGCAAAAAAACAAGCGCAAATTCAAACGCGATTTCAATATATCACATATTGACAGTGGCTCACCGATGCCAATGACATAATTACCCAGCTACATTTCTGAAAGAATGCAAAAGCATTGACATATATTTTTCCTTCCTACAATAGCCCGACGGGCAGGGTAGCCCGTCTGAAAAAAATCGCTAGCCCCAGGACGTCGGGCTAGCGATTTTGCGAGCCCTGTATCTGATTGAGGAATCACTCATCTTTGGAAAAGAGAGTTTATTACAGAGAAATGCCTCTTTCCAAAATAAAAGCTATACTATCCGCTTCTTCTGGGCTATATTCTCAGCAGCATAAGGAGAATCATGTGCTAACAGCTGTCTAAATGACTCGGCTAAAGTTAGTAGCATGCTTGTTGTTTTTGTCTTTGCACTAAGATGATGTAAATGTGCAGTCATATTCGTTGTGTTCCCACTAGTGCTTTCAGGTTAATCTCGTTGAAATGACCTTAACGCCACAACACGGCAAATCTCCGTTAACGAGCTACCGCCGATCGCCCCGTGCATGGGGCTAGACGGCCAACACGTTAACGAGCTAACTGCGCTAACACACTAGTTCCCACCCATGTAATTGAGCATTGCATGGCGCATCCAACATACTGTTTTACTTTAGTCCATGACTCGCTTACCTTCAGGGTCATACGTCACATGAAAACCAAAATAATTCCAAACGCCAGATCTGAATGAAAGTGGGGAACGTCCATGTTGCAAGGAGAGCTTAACTTCTGTCTCGCTAGCTTGCCCTGCGCTCTTCCTTCTGACTATGCTGTCTGTGTTGAGCGCTCAGTGAATCTGCGTTCGACTGCTCCGCCTAGGCTGCACTGTCGACCCTAGGCGGAGCAGTCGAACGCAGATTCACTGAGCGCTCCACACAGACAGCATCGTCAGAAGGAAAGTTGATAAAATAAATTACAAATGTTGTATTGTTCGATACATATGCGTACCGAACCGAAAGCACTGTATCGAACGGTTCAATATCGATACGAATATCGTTGCACCCCTAATTTCTACATCTGCTGCTGTCACAGTGTAACAATAACACCGCACTGTCTATCACAGTTCTCCACCTGCAGAGGAACCCAGCAGCTCTTATTGCACAAATACCTCTGAGGGTGATGTTACCCAGAGTAGCCCTTATGGCCTATGATGGGAAGGCAGTGAATGGCACAAATGTGCTAAAGCTGTGCTCTTAGCATCACGGGACATCTCTGTGGGTAACATTGTAGTCAAAACAGATGACTATGCAGTAATTATATTATGTTATAGTTTATATTAATCTTTGTTAGGATATTTAGATACTAACAGGTCTTATTCATGATTTTTATATGTAAGAAGAAGAACTTCAAATTTAATGCAGAGAAGCTAATATGTGAAGAATGGAGTCTCTCTTTTATACTGATTGCAGCATTCTGGATCAACTGAAGGCTTTTAGGCTTTTACAGCAATGCAGCCTAGAATAAATAAATACACCAACTAGCTTTCCAGCTTTACTTTGAGACAGGTTGCTTCTAATTTTACAGGTACTGCACAAATTAATAGAAAGAAAAGAAAGGCAGTCCTTAATGTAGATGCTAAGGAACATACCCTGATCAAACATGAGTCCTTGTGTTATTGGAGGTTGAGTCAGTGTCAGGTTAGACACACTATTTGTTTTTGAATCATTTGTCTTGATTGATAAATAAAGCTGGGTGTCATCTGCGTATCATATCATAGCAGTGCTTCTAATAATGTCTAAGGGAAGCATGTATGATTGGTCCCAGTACAGAACCCTGTGGAACTAACTGTAAAAAGACGACAGAGCAGGAATTATTTATAGAGGACACACACAGTGTAGTTAAAGCTGCTTTATTTTTTTTATTCCTGCAGGTGCAGCTAAAGTCTGTGGTGGAAGAGCTCCCTGGAAAGTTGGAGACTGCCCTGGCTGAGTCGGGCTCCAACTTCAGTGTGGGCCAGAGGCAACTGGTGTGTCTGGCACGAGCTGTCCTGAGGAAGAACCGCATCCTCATCATTGATGAGGCCACAGCCAATGTGGACCCGAGGTACTGCAAGATGACGTTTGCCTACTGTGTATGAACAACATCTTGTTAGACAGAAGAATATCTTGTGTACTGCAGCATGATGGGATACAGAAACTACTCAGCTGATAACACTTACTTTGACACATCGGTGGTTGTTTGCTGATAGTAAATTTTATCTAAAGGTCACACTAACAGAAGCGTTTATTTCTGCGGCTGCAGGACCGATGAGCTGATCCAGAAAACCATACGAGATAAATTCAGGGAATGCACTGTGCTCACCATCGCTCATCGCCTCAACACCATCGTAGACAGCGACCGTATACTGGTGAGTCCTGAATCGTTGACACTGATGCCACTTAATTAGGTAAAACCTCTAATTAGGTAGTAGTTAAACAACTAATGCAAAGGTAAAAAGTAGAATGGCTTTTTGCTGAGAGCTGGATCCAAATAATCTGTCAATGCCAGGCCTTAGAAATGCATTAATGCTTAATGCATTCTGTATTTGACAAGATTGGTGTCCAAACATACAAACTGTAACACAAGTGTGACTGTCACCTTTGGAGCAGCTTCTGCTTTCCCTGTATGTGGATGGAGTGTCGGGCTTTCTAGGTTTAGCAGTTTTTCTTTCAAAAATGCCAGATTCAAGTCAAGAGGCTATTAGTTTTACTTTGAAACTCATACTTTGCTCTTACTTTTGTGCAATAATCAGAACTATTTGTTTCCAGGTTCTAGATGCGGGGAAGATCCATGCGTATGATGAGCCGTACACCCTGCTGCAGGATCCCACTAACTTTTTTTATAAAATGGTGCAGCAGACGGGCAAACAGGAGGCAGCAGCTCTTCTAGAGGCAGCTAAAAAGGTCAGTTTGTTTTCGTTAAGTGTGAAGAACTTGAGTCAATCTCTTTTTGTAAACTGACATTTGTAAACTATGCGTTCCAGGCTTACGACAGCAGGAGCCGCCCCAGCCTGTCAAACGGACACGCAGTAACAGCAGACGGGAACTTGGTTATCTTTGAGACCGCTCTGTAAGCTCAGGGAGGCACTGAATTGCTGCTGCTCCTCCAGAAGATCCCTGGGCTGTAAAGCCCCTCCAGTCTCTGGTGAAAGCGCTGATCCGCTGCTGGTGGTATAAGACGGGGTGGACGTGACCTGCACAGCATTGATTTGCTGGGCCTGATGTGGCCACACAGTGCAGCTGTTTCCTCAGACTGACTGCCCAGAAATCAGGGCTATGAGAACTGTTGATGTAGAGCACTACCTATTTATCTCTCACGTGTTAAATTGCTGCTCAGCATTCTGGTGCCTTGCACAAATAGCTTTTAAATGGCTACATAATCCTTAAAATCCCAAGTGCTTTAATTTACTGATGGAAGTAAATCACTTGTAGATCAAAGTGATATTATTGTTCAGGATTAGTAACGACCAAATTCTTACTCTGCAGAGATCTCTCTGTATTTTTTTCACATTTATCTCTTTAACTACATGTTTTAAAGACTTGGAAAAAAAGCGTCACAAGATTTCAGTGTTAAATATTTTGTTCCTTGTGTTGTTTAAATGCTGACTGAAGCATTTCCAGGGAGGAAAGTGAAATAGCAGTGTGAGCTGTCTGCTGAATGTTTAAGTTATTTCAACTTTGTACGCTTGTTTTGTCAAATATTACATAAAAGGCCCACACATCTCACATGGTAACATTTGTCTTGGTGTATTGTGTAGTTTTTGCTTTTTGGCAAATATTGCTACTAAGATATAATACTGAAATCAAATCTTTGGTCAAGTCAAGAAGACAAGGACTGTTACAAATTACATGAACTTTATGAAAATTCGTGTACAAAAGTATAACGGTTGGGGAATTCAAGGTCAAATTCTGAAGCTTACAGATCTTACAGAGTAGCTTGTTCACATGTGACAATGTAACCATAATTTATGATTTCAACATAACTTAAAAACAGACACAGATCAAATAAGATCAAAGCATAAAAAACATCAAACGCCCCAGTCGTTGCACACAGTTGGAGGCAGGAGGAGCTCGCGGTGCTCAGAGGTTGCTGCAAGAGTTCAGCTGATTCCAGTGTTTCACTCCACGTCACAGTTTAACTTCTCTGTTTGGGTGTGAGAGAGACTTGTTGGAAGTAGACCTCACCTGGTTGTAGCAGCCACAGAAAAGTAAATTATTTTGCTCAGGCTGCTGTCATAAGCTGGAAAGCATGGAAACTGTGTGGATGCAGATTTTTCAGCCATGTTTAAGGGGACTCTTTTTCACCTCACCTTCCTGCTGACTCCAGCAGAGCCGCTGCCTCAGCCTGGCCCATCTCTTGCACCATCTTGTAGAGAGCACCCTCCTTGTTTTGCAGTAGAGTGAAAGGACAGTCCAGCTCCTGGATGGTGCCACTGTCCAGCACCTTAGGCCAAGAGAAAACATACGGTGGTGTAACAGTTAACACAGGAACATTTTTTGCATATCTGTGTACTCTAACAGTATGAATTTATTAAAAAGCTACAGTCGGAATAGCTGAGTCACCAGTATACGGTCGCTGTCTATGATGGTGTTGAGGCGATGAGCGATGGTGAGCACAGTGCAGTCTCTGAACTTTTCCCGAATGGTTTTCTGGATCAGCTCATCTGTCCTGCAGTAACAACAAGAAAAACACTTTGAGAATCATGTGGGAAAAGTGTGTTGAGAAAGCTCCTGGATGTCTAGGAGCTCTCTGTACTGGTAATGTATCTGGAGGACCTTGGGTCAACGTTGGCCGTGGCTTCGTCGATGATGAGGATGCGGTTCTTCCTCAGGACTGCTCTGGCCAGGCACAGCAGCTGCCTCTGGCCCATGCTGAAGTTGGAGCCTGACTCAGCCAGGACAGTCTCCAGCTTCCCAGGCAGCTCCTCCACCACAGACTTCATCTGTACCTGCAGTGAACATGGAGAGGAGAAACCTGTAGCTGGTCTGTGGGCAGTAACGACAAATCTGGGTGTGCTAATTAAATACTAGCCTCTTCCAGAGCTTTCCACAGGTCTTCATCAGTGTGCTGGTTGAAAGGGTCCAAGTTCTTCCTCACACTGTCAGTAAAGAGAACTGGGTCCTGGGGAGCAGAGGGGAGAGAAGTCAGGGAGAAAAATCAGTAGACTCTGCTACGTCATTAATTCTATGTACCGGATATGGATTTGGAAACGACACGCAGTATCGTATGACTTTGAAAATCTGTGTTTTGAGTTTAATTTACTGAAAATAAATGATATAGCAGTTTCAATTAATAGAAGAATAACAGAAATGGATAGCATTATTGTAACAGTGAGATTGTAACTACGTATTTCTTCAGGCAGTTGAAGTGTCATCTGATGTTGTACCTGAGGAATGATGGACATCTTCTGGCGCAGGTCATGTAGGCCAATCTCAGAGGTCACAATACCGTCGATGTAGATCTTTCCCTGGGGCTCTGCCAGGCGAAACAGAGCCGAGACCAGAGAGCTTTTCCCCGCTCCTGTTCTACCCACAATACCAACCTGACCCACAGGACACAAAACATCAACAGCTGATCATCACTCAGACCCCAACCAGCTGTTCTCCACAAACCGATGTGTCACCTTCTCTTTGGGTTGAAACGTGGCGTTGATGTCTTTGAGGACCGGTGGTCCATCCTTGCTATAAAAGAAGTTCACTCGATCAAAGGTTATCATTCCTTGGCTCGGCCAATCAGGGGGAGGACGCTTCTGAGTTTCTAAGGGTGCTTCACTCTTTAGCTCAGTGTACTCCACCACCCTCTCCACTGATGTCATCTGAAAAGCCAAGAGGTCTTTTTCAATTATGCTTTTTGTAGCCTATGTTAACGTTCATTCATAGGCATCAGGATGTTTTTATATTTTTTAAACCCCAAAACCGAAAATTCCAACTTCCTACAAAGGGCTTTATAATTTGTACAGCATACTTTACTGTAAGTGCGAGTCAAGTGTCAAAGTTCTGTACAAATGAGGTATGATCAAAATTTGAGAGGATTAAGGGAAATGGAAACTTTGCTCCATGTAACTGTCCATTAAGTACATTTATCTTCACCCACCAACATCATTTTCATCAACATCATTCATTCAAAAAAAACTGGAAATACAAAATGTCATCACTCAGTTCTTACCATGTTCTCCACCTCTGCACTTTGTCTCACTGTCCACTGGAAGTTTCCTATCAGTGTTACAGCATAGGTCAGCACAAGGCCCACCTCTCCAGCCTCCAGGCCTAATGGATCCAAAACATGATCAGAAATCAGAGGCTAGTTCAGGACTTTCTTCTGCATTAACTAAATGTGTGTGGTTAGGGTATTTAGCAAACTAAATGCAGTTAAATTAAACATTTAATTGTGTTTAGTTGCTAAATACCCCAAGCCCACTAAGGGCTGGTTGGTTTAAAAGTTGTGGAACTGTTTGGTTTTTCTTTCCTTTATTTTTAATAGTTTAAGTAAAGGTTTTAATAAACGTCCATTTATGGCAAATCTTATTAATCTACATTATATATTCTTGACCTGTTGCACAGATTCAATTCAATTCACATCAATTTGATTTATATAGCACCAAATCACAGCAACAATTGCCTCAAAGCACTTTATATTGTAAGGTAAAGACCCTACAATAATACAGAGGAAAACCCCAACAATCATGTGACCCCCCACGAGCAAATCCTTTGGCGACAGTGAGAAGGAAAAACTCCGTTTTTATAGGAAGAAACCTCTGGCAAAACCAGGTCAGGAAGAGGCAGCCATCTGCCATGACTGACTGTGGGTGCAGGGAATAAGACGGGACAAAGACACACCCTGGAACAGAGCCAGAGATGAACAATAACTAATGAATAAATGCTGAGTGGTGTATACGCACATAAAGAGTGAAGAAAAAGACTCATCATGGGAAGCCCCCAGCAGCCTAGAGCTATTGCAACATGACTAAGGGAAAATTCAGGGTTAACTCATCCATCCCTAAATATATGCTTTATAAAAAAAAAAAAAGTCTTAAAAGTAGAGTTTGTCTGTCTCCTGAATCAGGGCTCTAGAGTGCGACCAATTTGGTCGCAAATGCGACCAAATTTCAGTGGTGCCACTAAAAAAAAAAAAAAAAAAAAAAATTGGTTGCACCTGTGCGACCAACTGTTCGGGTAGCAAAAAAAAAAAAAAAAAAAAAAAAAAAAAAAAAAAAAAAAAATCTCGCAACCTTCCCTGTGGTCAACAACAGACACACATTTTGCCCCTATCGTGGACTAAACCAATCAGAGATAGTAAGGGGCGGGACCTCTCTGATTGGCCGTGGTCCAGTTGAAAGTGCAGGTGGAAGTGGGAGGTGAGTAGCTTGAATAAAGCGATATCAATTCATTAAATCCTGAATCGACTTTTAAATATAACTGTGTTTTGCCAGAAACGCCAGATTCTCAGATTAAAGCTCACAAAACCATTTCAACAACAACCAAAAAGCAAATGAGAGCAGGTACAGGGATCCACACAAAGACGTAAACACAGAGGACCGACGCATCAGAATCAACTTTGTCTTTCTCGGCTTTCTCACCCGACGGCCCGTAGACGGACACTCTGTCGGAGCTTAGCGGTTCTGATGCGTCCGGTCCGCACTGTGTTTACGTCTTTTGCGCTGATTCTGAGCTGCAGGTTTTGTCTCTCTCCAACCAAAATTCACCGAGCAAGCAGCAAAAGAAGCAGCAAACTGCGCTTCACATTTGATCAATGTCGTCATGAATTTTGCTGTTTTGCTTCCACGACTATTAAAAAAAAAAAAAAAAAAAAAAAAAAAAAAAAAAATCACACTTCATGCACAGCTAGCTCTCTCTCTCTATCTCTCTCTGTACTTCAAGAACAGTTTC